CCAAGCTAGATTCTTTTCCCACGTAGGCTTACCTGCTATTCCCTTTTCTTGGGTTGATAAAGTTATTATCTCCCTTTACCTCCTCGCACTTCCTCAATCTGACGCGCCAAATGTCTGCCTTATAAAGGCTAAAAATACCCCCTCCCCGTTAATTTACTGCGCTCCACTGATTTTGCACTTCTTCACCAATCAAAAGTGCACATCCTAGGACTTGAGACAAATTTACCAGTGTAATGATTGTTTCCTTTATGACAGCAGTCACATCATGAGGGCATCAGGGTGTCAACAGCACTAAAAGTGATGGAAATGATAAAAACTGGAGAAGCGACCCAGGGTGTGCAGAGTATGCTCCGTTTCGTCGCATTCAGTCCACGGAGTAGGGAAAAGGGTGACAAGGATGGCAAGAAAAGGAGGAGGAAAAGAAGAAGAAGAAGAAGCGCAGTCAGTCAGTCAAGCGAACGGACGGGGAAGGAAGGGCGGACGGACAGAGGAGAGAGGCAGACAGAACATGCATCTGAACCGCCACAATTATGGCTCCTCATTCTTTCTCTCGCTCATTCTTTCTGGCTAAAGCGGCTGCACTAATCGCTAATCACGCAGTGTTCAAGCATTAATAATTTGAGTTTTCAGTGCAAGCTGGAGTTCGGTCAATTCAAAAAGGAACAGAAAACAAAGGCGGAGTATAGAAAGCATTTGGGATCGAAAAAGCAAATCGGCTCAACAGAACTAATGAATAAGTAATGACAGTACATCATGCGCGTTGCGTGTATTGGTACAGAAAGGTGGACGTGAAGGCAAGACTTTTACCAATCTCATAACTGCGCAACGCATAGGAAATATCGATGACTGTGGACGAGTGCACGTTTAGCAAAGGCAAAAACAACGGTCCGTTGGTTTAAACAGTTACAAGTCCTAATTCCTGTTTTCCCCCTCTCGTCAGACCAACAGAATAGGAATGCCTTCCTCCACACGTAATACAGTTGGCTTTGCGCTAACTTTGAAGAAGGGTGAATATATCCATGTTCTAACCTTAACCCTCATCAATACTTTGCCTTAATCATGATCCTAATGTTTATGAAATTTAGCGTACGGCCATCTGTATTATAAACGGTTCCTTTTTTCGTGTACTGCCGAGAGGAAGATATAAGCAATCCCCATTCAGGCGCCGACCAAACTATTAAAATTCAAAATAATATCCAAACGCGAAACAGACAGCAATGGTACAGTTCGACGATGCCCATCTGTCAGCTTAATCAATTGTTAGCATATAAAATAGCCAGTTCCTAGAGTGGTGTCGACGTATTAAGTCACAAAAATACGGGGATTTACGAACTTAGAGGCATTATCGATATCACATCCGCTTCTTCTATGACGATTTTGAGAAAAATGCTAGTTCTAACCCCGTTTGTGGTGTCAATTCACAGTAGCTTTTGAAATCCACTTGCCATGAGTTGTAGATAATACCCAATACCCAATACCCAATACCCAACTAAATAGATGGAAGTTTCCTTACCAAAACTAGACTCCTCTCCATCAGAGTGTACATAAAGCCAACTGCTTTGCCGGTGATGCTTTTATTACATCCGGGCACACGAAAAATCACTGTACATAAATCATGACAATGACAGAAGAGAAAGTCAAAAAACAGTGCCGAGCTCTACCATAACAAATATCCCCTATCGCAACCGATAGAACAATGAACCGATGTCTCAATGGTTAGGCCAGTGGACTCCTAACGTCAGTTCGGGAGTTCACGCCTCAGAGGTTGCAATACCTGCAGCCGGACATGGCTGGCTGATGAGAACCAATAAACAGGAAGTAGCCATCTCAGTTTCCATTTTCCCTGTCAGTAATGCTACTCTGCCTATAGTGGTAACCCCTATGCGGCTACTGGCGGGGCTCGAGACTGAGTCGCAAGGCACAAACCGGACAAGTGTGGCCCTTAGTTAGCGCCCCCTACTATTGTCACGAATTTATTATTCAGAAGGGAATCCTGTGAGCTGATGAGGGAACGGAGTGTGCTTAAGCGTCTACTTAGTCATGTCAGAAAGCTTTGAGGTCTAACCTCCTACCTCTTGAACAGTGAACATGCTTTTGACTTTTGGCAATTTACTCTCTCCCTACCCTGACGTTGAGATGTACGCCCTCACGTTGACGACTGTTATAACCGAATGTGCTCCTGTGTCAACACCGGTTATGTCTCCCAGTTACGTGTTAGGAAGATAAGGCAGAACAGTATAGCAGATATTACTTTACCGTCAGTTGTACTAGTACATCAGCTCTGTTTCCTGTGTGTCCAGCAGCTTGTCTTCTTTGGTCGGTCTCGTTTCAGTTATAACAACGACAAATCCAGTTTGGCCATTTTTACATGCCATATAACAGTTGTCCCGCTTTGTCTACAAACTTCAGGCAGACTATGTCGCCATTCGCCCGCTAGGATGATTGATTAGCAGCCATTCATAGGAGAAAATTATCAATAAGCCTACTTGACTGACAGACGTTACATTCTTTGCGAATTTCAGGATAAGGTCCTATAATTTAATTATCTTTATAATGCGCCTTCGGCAAGTGGTTTCTTCGATCACAAATTTTTGGAAAGTAAAATTTACAGGACCACGTAATACTCTGATCAGTCTTTCATGAGTTTCCCAACCTGTTGCATTTCAAGTGCAGTCTTCCAGCTAGACCCTCGTCTACTCTAGAAAATAGGCAAAATTACCGTTTAACCAGGAAGTATTCATTTTGCTGTGGCGTTTGCCAACATTGTCGTGAAGGCTTTGTGCTAAGTCACGTATGCCGGAAAACACATTTTCCGGCCCGCAATGAAATAAAAATCGCCCAAGTTGTTTGCACGTTACCTCGATCTTCGATTAAAAAAGATGCTCAAAAGATGACGGAGCAAACGATCTCATGCAGTGCTCTATCACATCAAATAAGGGAGTGTTGGGATTAGAGAGCATTCTGAAGAAACCTGTATTTTTTGAGTAATGGGTTATTTTACCCCAATCTGTTTCAGGGTGCACTCACCCTTAAATACCATTGTATTTTTTGAGTTTGTTATAGTTTGCAAAACAGGTGCTTTGTATAACTTTACTCCTGTGTATTTAAAGATAGTTGCAAACTCTTGAGAACAACTTTTTTTCGAAAGTTAAGCAAAAAGTAGAGAGCTTTTGGGTGCACTATACCGGCTGATACAACTATCATTGTCCTATAGTTCGCATAATAAGCTGATGGGAAATGGGGCTTGATGCAGCTTGTATACTGAGCCCTGAGGCCAGATATTCACTCTGGCTTGATTCCCCAAACTGCCAGTTTAATGCCTCGATAACAGTATTGCCTACGACAATTCGAATTTGGGATAGAGCGAGTGGAAAGCGTACGCAAATAAAATGGTCTCCACTAGTAAAATACGAACCATTTCCCATTAATAGGTTAAGTTCGTGCGAAAACTTCGTTGGAGAGAGTATGTTGCTCTCTCTCTCCATTTGCCGATTTTTCCACAATTGTTTCAAACGAATTATCCAAATCGACCAAATACCATAATAATAAATTGTGCATGTTAGACATCTGATGAATTCTATATCAATTGCTTATGAAATCCTGCTTTGGCAGTCAACTTAGTGTATTAGAATCTGTGGATTCTATAGGTTGCAGTAGGCTGGACGGGTAAATTGACACAAGTGTGATTATATTCACGGCTCCAAATTGGGGGCAAAAAAGGTTCCGCAGTGGTGAGGATGAAATCGTTCAAGGAACTCCTGTTTAGCTCACAATTTTGAACCATATTTTCAAAAATTCCAGCTTATTCAGTCTGATCTAACTAGTTGACTAGGATGCCAGGGGCAAGCGCCAGATTTCGCATATCAGACCTAACATTGTTTACAGTTCTCTTTTCCAAAAACCTCATTATTTCCCTCAATAAACAGCCATACGCAAACATCGATCATGATTAGTGCTCATTTAAGTGATTAAAAATCCCTCGGATGACATAAATTTCGGTTATGGAAGTCCTGCGAACGTGACATACGAACAGACTGACAAGGAACCGCGTTTTAATTATGATAAAAGTGAAGCTCAGGGATAATCTGTGCTGATAAAAGCTAGTCCGAAACGACAGACAGTGGTAATGGTTTTGTGAAAGCACGTATTTTTTGACGCCATGTGCCAAGTTAAGTAGTTTAAGGGGGCGAACCTGCAGCGAGACTGGACGACAGAGACATGTGGTTGTTTGTCCCAGGTTGAGGGGTGCACTCAGGATAACAGCATCCTTTGGACTAAAGTTCCAGAGATAGGCGGGAGTATGCAGCGATGTACTTGCATATCGAAGCCTGCTTAGAAGCTCTGGCGCAAATTTCGACATATCACAATAGATTAGATCCTAGTACTTACCTAGTAACTTCAAAAAGCTGCTGAAACAGTACTCCGACTCAAAAATTGAGGCAAATGTTCGCATCCCAGGTACGTGTATAGAAGACGAAGACGTTTTGATTGGCTCCTGCCTCCTTTAACTGTTGCTCGTTTTTCGTTTATGGTTTGCCTCTGAAGATGGACTCCCACAAGAGCCCGAAAGCTCAGAAGAATAAAATTATGTATCCGGTGATCGAAACGTCTTCGCCTTCAGTACTCCGACTATGTTATCTGATAGAGGAACCACATTTAACCCGATGTTTTCCATTTTGACAAGAAAAGCGGTAACGGGCAAGGGTTCTAAAAGACATAGTGCACTTCAGTTCTTGGGGGTAGTGGAAGTACGTATGGCTCGACTGTTGGGATGCTTTTTAAGGAGTGAAGAATAGCGATTACTCGTTATCTGCGGTATTAAGAAGTTACAGTGTTTGGTCAGATATTAAAAGTGCTGCTGAACAAGCTTTAATAAATAAACCAGAGCCCTTAAACGAGTCATGTGTAATGAAACCGACGAGTATCTAGTTAGCAATGCAATAAAATCCGACGAGATTTTCGCCTAGAGTCAAACACTTTCTGTCGCAATTATGTTTCCCTTAGTTGCCCATCGTAACCGCAAGCCCTAGTTCATTTCTGCTTTCACAAAAACATTTGAAAGCAACTTCGTAAGACAAATACGTGTTTATAAACATGTGACTCACCTTTGTAAACTGGAACCCGACGGGTTCTTTGATGGACAGTCGCACCTCTGTGATGTTGACAGCGTTCGGAGGAGGGAAGATGAAGGATGGATAATTATCATTGACATCGGTGATGGCGAAGTACACTGCCGCACGCTGGGCAAGCCGAGGACTGCCATAGTCCTGGGCGCGAATTTTAAATCTAATTATAGCCGCAGAAGGACTCGTAGAGTTGTCAGTGTCAATGACGCCTCTCCCGAAGCTAGAGGATGGGAA